AGTAGGCAGATAGACTGAAGTACACTGCTGAGGGGAGCAGCAGGTGAGTCAGGAGAGGTCTGCTGTGCCATGTGGGTTGCTCCCTGGCTGGCCAGGGGATCGAACCTGAACTACAGAGGCTGTGGACAACTTCACAGCACTGCGCTCAACCCACTGAACCACAGGGGAGGCCCAAGCTTAACATTCTTTTTAGGATCAGAGGACGCAATACAGGTGCTTTAAAACTTCCTTTTTAAGAAAAATATGTTTCTTTTGGAGAGAAAATGGCCCCCCCATATATATATATCTCCTAAGGAACTATCTCTTTTGTTATTTTAGGGTCTGGTATGACTGACATACTTGATTATTACCGCCTCCTCATCGAAAGAATTGCATGATTATAGTTGGAATTGTAGAACTTCATGGGCTGAGGAACAAAATGAAGCTTTGTTCCGCTAGAGTACATAATTATTCCTGACATAAAATTCAATGCAAAAATAAATAAATAAAATTCAACGCAAGTTCACAATTCAGGAGATGAGAATTTCTTTTGGTCGGTGGGGGGGATGGGAAATTTGAGCAGCAATTTGAATCTGTTCTAACAGTGGGAGAACATTCTAGAAGAGGTGATTGTGCAATAAATATTTCAGCATGTATTCTTGTGTCTTGATTGTTTGGATAATATTCTTAGCTATTTTCTATAAATATTAGCTACAAATGTCTTAGTTAATGTTTTTCGTACAGTATGGCCCCAGCCACTCTCTTTTCTCTCTTCTTCAGGAGATTCTATTTCATAGCAGTTGGAACTTTTATTTATATCATCCACATATCTTATTTTTACCTTAGAGCTTCTCTCTGTGTCCCTTGTGGGTTCCTTCTGGGACACTGTTTTCAGCTCTCTGGATTTATTCCTTAGATGTTTCTATTCTGCCATTAGCACACCTATTGGCTTCTTTATTTCAATCATTATATTTTTCATATCCCTCATTTCCAGTTAGGTTCTACTTCATAACATCCTTTCCTTGCCTCAAGTTTTCAATATCTTCCCTTATTTCTCTAAGGATATTAATTATACTTGTTTTACATGCCTTATTAGCTCTTCTTCCTGGGGTATAGTTTCTTCCAAGCCTGACTGATATATTTGAGCCTCCTGGGCATGCTGACAATTTTGTGCTTCAGAAAAAGTAACCACTTAGCTCCTTAAACCTGATCGTTTTATATCATTTTTCTTTGAGCATTGATTTAGAGTTGAAGTAGAGAAACTGATTTCTAGTTAGAAAAAAAAAAATATGGGCTGAAAGAGAATGACAGCTTCCGGCCAGAGCAGGGGCACTTATCTAGCCAAAAAAAAAAAAAAAAAAAAATTGTCAAGTAGACACCGTGGATGCCCCTCCATGTCACTCTTGGATCCAGCCTTTTGAGAGCCTATTGATGCAGCACCCACATCGTCCATGGCTTTCTCAATTTAGCCTCCAAAAGGTGGGAGTTTAATACCCTTGGTGCAACATGTACCCAACGGGGGATGGGGCGTCTACATCACTGTCCCCCAACTCCCTGTACTTCCCTGGGAAGACCTTGAGGCTTGTCCTTCATGATCCTCTGAGGGCTCCTAGCAGGACCCAGCCACTTTCTGGCGAGCACACCCTCGATCGGCATTTCTCTCTTCTCACACTCAGTGTTCTACTTATTCACTGCTGCTTCCCCGAATCACCTCCCTCTACAAGCCAATTTTAAATACCAACTACCTGAAGTCACCTCCCAAATACCCACTACCCTCCCTGAGTCACCACCTCAGAGTTAAATTTGGGGGAAACTCAAGCAAAACCACCACTTCTCTAAATTTTGTTCTATTTTCATTTTTCTCAAGTGTTTTTTTTCTCTTCAGATCTTATCTTCTTGTAGGGGGGCATTTGACAGTTTAAACTGGAGACTAATAGAAATTGCTTATTTCCAAGATACTATCTTTGTCTTCATTTCAGATTTTCAGCTGACTGCAAACGCGTGCTCTGAGAACATTTCTCCCTGAAATGTTAAACATGTCCACAGCGGGGCACCATCCACATCGTGAGGGCTGGGCAGGAAACTTGGCCAATTTCTCCCAGCTCTGGTCTACTCTAGTGCTTCTCAGCCCTTAAGGTGCCTGGGGATCACTTGAGCATCTTGTTAAAGTGGAACTTTTTTTTTTAAGACTTATTTATACAAGAACCGGGGCACAGGCCAGATGCGCGGGAGGTTGAGAGGACTCACCAGAGACAGAGTGGGGAACAGAACAGGCAGACTGATGAAATACACTGCTGAGGGGAGCAGCAGGCGAGACAGGAGAGGTCTGCTTCATCATGTGGGACTCTTACCAGCTGGCCGGGATCAAACCCGCACTGCAGAGGCTGCGGACAGCTTCACAGTGGGGTGCTCAACTGCCTGTGCCACTAGCGAGGCCCTAAAGGGCAGCTTCTAACTGGGCAGGGTGAGGGGGCACAGGGGGACGGAGATTTCGCCTTTCAAACCTGCCTGGGAAATGCTGAGGCTGGGAGTGGGGGGTTGCATTTTGGGAGGGAGGCATTTAAGATGGTCCATTTGACCCATTTTGCCTTGTCCCCCACTCCACCCCTTCTCCCCCTTAACTTGCCTCAGTTTAGGATCTTTAAAATAGAGAATCTGTCTGTGGGAATACAAAAACGGTGCAACCATTTTTAGAAAACAGATTGTTAGCGTGGTAAGTGAAATGGTGCCTCCCCTGCCTGGTATGACACACCTGCCAATGTGATCTTATATGCAGATGTAATTAAGTTAAGGATGTTAAAATGAGATTCTCCCAAATCATCCAGGTGGGTTTTAAATCCAACAGCAAGTGTCCATATAAGAAACAGCAGAGAAGACACAGACAAAGAAAAGGCCAGGTGAAGGCGGAGGCAGGGATAGGAGTGATGTGGTCACAAGGAGGTCCTGGAGTCATCAGAAGCTGGAAGAGGCAAAGACAAAGCCCCCTTCTAGGGCCCATATTCATCTGGTTTTAGTATTAGGGAATTGATGGCATTGTCAAATGTACTCCTTCTCTTGGATTTTTGCAACAATTTGAGTTTGGTAGGTTTGATAGGTTTGAAAGGGCATTTGAAAGGTTTGATAGGGAGTATGGCCCTGCCCTCACCATTGCAGACTTCTGACCTCCAGAAGGACCTCCAGAATGGTGAGACTGACCACTACTGTTGTGTTGCTTGGAGTGGCTCAGTTGGTGGTCTTTTATTAGAGTAGCCACAAGAAACCAAATATATACAATTGATGTCATATAAATTAAAACCAGTCTGACTATCTGACCCAGCAATCAATCCTACTCCAGATGCTTATCTGGAGCAAAGGAAACTTAGGATCACAGAAAACCTTGTGCAAAGATGTTTATGGGCAACTTTTTTAGTAGCAGCTCTAAACAGGAAACAACTCAAATGTCCTTCATGGGTAAACAGACTGTAATCCATCCATATACAATGGAATATTACTCAGATGTTAAAAAGGACTTTTGATACATAACAATGGCCCAGATGAATTTTAAATGTATTATGCTGAGGGAAAGAAGTCGGATTCAGAAGTCTTCCTACTTTTTTATTGCACTTATAGGACATTTTGGAAAAGGCAAAATGAATTCAATGACCTTGCAGAAATGGACAAATTTCTAGGACAATCTAGTTTATCAAGACAGAAGCTGAAACAGAAAAATTGAATAAGCCAATCACAATCGTAGAACTTGAAACAATAATAATAAAAAATCTCCCAGCACAGGGACCCCCTGGTGGCATAAGGGGTTAAGATGCAACCTATGAAGCTGTCCGCAGCCTCTGCAGCACAAGTTTGATTCCCTGCTGGCCAGGGAGCAACCCATATGGCTCAGCAGACCTCTCCTGACTCGCCCGCTGCTCCCCTCAGCAGTGGACTTTGGTCAATCTGCCTGTTCTGCTCCTCACTCTGTCTCTTGTGAGTCCTCTCACCCCCCACACCGCTGGCCTGTACCCCACCTCTTGTATGCATAAATAAATAAATCTTTAAAAAAATCTCCCAATACAAAAACCCAGGACCAGATGACTCTACAAACCAATTTTATCAAGCCTTTAAAGAAGAACTGATGCCACTTTACTCAAATAATTCCTAAAAATCCAAGAAGAGGGAATGTTCCCTAATACAATTTATGATGTCAACATTACCTTAATGATAAAACCAGACAAAGAGAGTACAAAGAGAAAACTACAGACTGATATTCCTGATGACTACAGATGAGAATTAGAAACTTCTAGAAATTTTAGAGTAATATTTATCATCTCCCATGCTGCATTTTGTTAGGGCTACAATTATTACATAACTTTAAGACCTGAGAAACATTGGCGTAGAGCAAGGCAGGGAGAAATTAGTCAATGCAGTAATTAAATATAATGACTTATTATTATTATTATTATTATTTGTGGTTTCTACCACCTTGCAGAGGCTCTCTGAGCGATGTGTCCACAGCTTCCTCCTACTCTTGCCCTGGTACTTACCGCCACCTCCTAGTTCTCAGGTTTAGCTGGTGAAGAAGTTTTGGTGCCATAAGTTCTGGTGTGCGTCTGGCCAGGATCAGAAGCTGCATGGTCCGACACTGCTGCTTCAAACTGGCTGGGCATCTGGGGCTCACACTCTGTTCTCCCCAGGACCCCAGGGCAGTTGAAGCCAGTTGGACCCTGATTGTCTTCTCAGCTGTGCAGGGCTGCAGAAGAAATGAGAGGTCTTAAATGGGGAAAGAAAGCTCAAAAAAGAGGCCAAGTCTAGAGAGAATGGAGGTCTCTCATCTGACTTCTCTCCTCAGACAAGGAACTTCTTTAGCTTTCCCAGTTCTCTGACTAGGAGGCCCAGTGTGAGGCTGCCTGAGTGAACACTCCACGGAAGGAACCCCAGATCAGAGCGGGGGTGGGGGAGAACAGATAGGTCATTTCCTCCCTGGTCATCTGCACCCTCTGTTGAGGCTTTAAAAACCACAGCTCTCTGGAGGAAAGGACCTAAGACAGTGGGAAGCCAGGACTCCAGAAGATGGTGAGTCTACTAGGGGGAGTGGGGACAGGGCCCCTGCCTTCCTGATCTCCTTTCTGGGCTCCCTCTCTCCCTCTCCTTTCTCCTTCTCCCTGTCCTCTATTCCCACCCCCAACCCCCTCTGTCTCAGACTCTCTTGGGGACCATTAAGTCAGGAAACCCTGCAGTGGGTATGGTAAGATGATTCCCTTCCTCAGATGGAGCGATTCCAGAAAGATCTTCAGCTGGTAGGAAGCAAAGTTTGGGGGCTAGAAAGATCCTGTTTAGAAGGAAAGTATGGTTGCTCACCTGGATTTTCACCCGGTAGGGATGGGGACACTGAGTCACAGGCAGGAGTGGAGGTGGCCTGGTCCTTCACTGCTCGGTGGTGGAACTAGCCTGTGTGGGGGTTCTGCCAGTGTCCAGTGAAGGGGGAACCCCCTTGTACACCTTTGTCCTGAGGGCCAGGTCCCAGCCTGGTAGGGCTGTGATTTAGCAAATGTCATGCCAAATGGTCATTTTCTTCATGTGTGTGGGATGAGGAAACGGAGGCCAAGCTGGCTGGACTGGGGAGGGGTTCATGTTACTTCATCTCCCCCCTTTTGTGATCCTCTTGGGCCACAGGGCTTGCAGAACTGGGTCCACAATTAGTGCCCACTCCTTTTTCTTTCCATAAAATAGTCCTAAACACCCTGGCCTCAGACCTTGTCGCTGCCCCCAGAAGGAATCTTGGTGGATCTTTGCAGAAATGGGTAGCAGATGTGTAGGGAGCCACGAGGAGTGGATTGACAGGGAGGTGAAATGGAAATGAGTTCAAATTCTGCTGAGGATACTTTTCTTCTCTGGGAGTCTGTAAGGTGGAATAATAACCCTACAGATTTGGAACCTATGTCATAAGATTGTTGAGAGTCTTAAATGAGGTAATACCCAGGAAGCTCTTACAACAGTGCCTGGCATACAGTGGGTAGTGAGTGCAGTGACATGACTGTCCCTTCTCTTTCCCTGTAAATAGGATACATGCTATCCTATATCTTGTTTTTTTTCCACGAATAACATAATATTAATCAGCATATATTGAGCACTTAATGTGTACCAGTGCTGTATTATGCACTTTCATTTGCTAACTTCATCTTCAGCAACTTATGAGGAAGGTACCACTATATTATCACCCCTGTGTATTTCAAGGGAGTTCCCTCTTTTTATCACCTGTATAATATTCCGGGAAGATTTAGGTTGTTTCTATTAATAATATGCTGTCCTTGAAAACCAATCAATAATGGTTGTGTCCAGGTTTCTAGAACTGCACATGCTAAATCCAAGGCACAGGCAATTTTTATTTAAACAGATACTACCAAGAGCTGTACCGATGTATATTTCCCTCTTCCTGGGTACGAAAGCATCTATGTCTACACACTCATCCGCACAGTAAGACCAAACTTCAGACATGTTTGCCAACCTGAGAAGTCATTGCCTCTTTAAAGGACCTAGAGGTCCTTTAAAAGCACAAGCCTTTTCATGGGTTGGTTTTCATGGGTTGGTTTATGCTTTTCATGGGTTGGTTTTGTTTTTTGAGTCTCTGTGTTTCTTATGCTTAGGGATTTTGAATCAGAAAGGTCACACACATTTAGAAGATGAATCTGAGTTGGAGTGTCCATCCCAATCCTTGTATCCCATTTCTCAGAGCTCACAGCCTAGGGATGGCTCCATGTCCTTCTGGAAGTGGACTGTTGAAAGCTATTGTGTCCATGAGGATCAGAGAAGGGGTGTCCAGGGACTGAAGCTGATTTTGCCTTCTGAGTATCTACTGCTCTGATAACCTTCCTAAGTGGGGGAAGTTCACTGTACTTTCCACTTTAGTGGGGGACAGTTCACTGCACTTTCCCTACTGGAAGGATTGGGACTTTCTCAGAGACGGAGGCAAGGGACTGGTGCAGAGCTTACTAGCAGCTTTTCCGATGCACCAGCTGTTTGACTGTGGCCAGATCATGTGTCTGCTCTTGCATCTTCTTCCTTTTTTTCTTCCTTTCAGCTATTACCATCATCCCATTGTTGCTGTCCTGGATCCTCTGCCCCTTGCCTTCTCTCTGGCCCTTTACCTTTCCTCTCACCTCCTCACAGCAACCAGAGAGATCTTTCTAGGTGGAAATTCTAAGCTAGCCCTTCTAAGGCTCAGAGACTATCAAAGGCTCCCTAGTGCCCAGGAGGAAATACAAATTTAATATGGCATCTGAATCTGTGGGCCTCCCAGCTGTGGGCCAACCTCGCTCTTCATTTTCTGATGTGTAGCACATTCTCTGTCTTGTCCTCGGGCCTCTTGCCTCAAATCCATGCCCTTGGCTCCTACCACACTTTACACTGGCAGTTGCTCAGAGGAGCTCTAGAGACCAACTCTCAGAAGTTCTCTTCTCTCTCTGCTGCTTGTTAACAGCATGAGGTCTTGGAAAGCTCTCCTAACCTCAGTCTTCGTGTCTGTAAAGTGGGTGTAGCAAAGGCCGCAACACTGAGGCTTGTTCTGTGGGTTAAATGAGATAATACATGAAAAGGGCTTAGAAAAGAGCTGGATTATGATTGCTTTTCTTGTAGGTACCGTGTCTTCTCCTTCACCCAGTTCTCCCATCGTTCAGGTCTCCTCACTGCCACTGCCCTGGCAAGACAATCCCAGTGTGTACAATTCCAGTCTCTTCTTCCAGCTTCCCTATGGGTCCCTTTTTCATGGAGCAGGGAAGGGGTCTTACAATAAGCACGTTGACTTAGGAACAAGAAGAGCCTGCTGCCCTTCGGGTCGTTGTGACATAAATACTGTTCATCATTAGATAGTTAACAGACTCCCCGCTGGACGCGTGTAGGATAGCGCTTGGCCCTAACAAATCCCTTAGCGACCTAGACTTTTGCTGTCCCACAGGGCATCCACGAGCCACACTGAAAGTGGTTGTTGGAATTTTGTTAAAATGACATTAAAGTGCAGACGTGCTGCCACAGTTCAAGTGGGCAACAGCCTCATGAGGCTGGTGGCTGCCATCTTGGATGCGCCGATCTAGAGCAGAAAGCTCTGTAGAATGAACTGCAGTTTTACTTCCTCAGGATCCTTCTCTAGCTCCCTTGGCAGGCTGGACCCTATCAAGCACTCTCCCTTCTCATGGGCCATGATTCATTTCCCTCTCCCTCTCCAAAGGCAGGGACCAGGGATGTCAGGAACCAATGCCCTAACCAGTTAATATTTGTGGAATGGAGATATAGTCGTAGAATCTCCTAGACTCCTAGGATTGTGGAAACACAAATTCTTTTATATATTCTATACGATATTTATCATTAAGGCATAGGCAGCCCTACTTTTTTAGTTCTTTATACAAGAAAGAGCAATGTTGCCTTTCAGTTCCCGCCTCCTACTTCCCCTCCCAAGGCCAAACACTGTTCCAAGTTTCTTCTGTCTCCTTCTGGAGTTAGAATGTGCTGAAGCAAGCACCCCCATACAGACAGAATGACAGCGAGGAGGGAGGGATGGGCAGAGGGAGGGCTTCTTCTTTTGTAGGCAGAATACTTTACACCCTGACTAGTCCTTAACTTTTCTATTTCACTACTTCTTAGAACTCTTTCTACATTGGTCTATAAGCAACTTCCTCATTCTTTGAGAGTGCCTCCATGTGCCTTTGTAAATTCAACCAGTCCCCTCCTGCTCTGCTCACCGGATCCTCCCAATCTTTGTTAGGGATGCCATAACAGCCCAACTTTGCAAGTCATTTGCATGAGGAAGAGTTTGGAAACTGCTGTGTGAGCAAAGGCGTCTTTTTTTCTGCTCTCATGATGTCAGTGCTAGGAACGGGGCTAAGTGAGCTCATGCCAGGAAGGGAGCTTTGTCTGGTGATGAGAGGAGCAGGGGGGGGAGGCTCCTGCTTTGGGGTGTCTGAGTCATTGAACAGCCAAAGAAGCCAGCAGATGACAAAGTGAGCTTCGCTTATCCATTCATGTGTGAGCAATTAAAAACATTTAACAATCCCAACAAGGTGCCACGCCCCACCCAGCATCCAGGACCTCCTGCTGTGCCTCGCATTTGCCCTCAGTGAATGGATCTAGGGGACCTGTGGGAGTTGGGGCTCAGTGCAGGGTGCTGTGGGGGTGGAGGAGCAGGTACTCCTGACCATCATCCTGGTTGACAGGAGGGCAACAATGGCACTAGAAATAAAACAAACAGCGGCCCTTTTTAATTTCTGAGCTCTTCAGTAATCACGATATTAGTAAATAGCATTAGCAGTGATTGCCATTCCCCACCCCTCCCCACTGCCTGTGGCCCAAGCACCGACCATTTTCTATCTTCTCCACCCATATGGTGGGGGTAAACCTCAGCTCACCTAGTCAGGTGCATTACAAATGCAGCTCTAAAATGTCTGTAACCCCAATTTCTTTTTCTCATTGCTTCTTTTCCCAGGGTGGGTGACAAAGTGGCATCTGGGATGGGCTAGCTCTAAGGGCCACAGAGCTTGCCTCTGAAGAGTCCTGACTCTGTCCACAGCGCCACCCCCAACCCCATCCCCTTGGAGATGGTCAGCCTGATTAAGTACCGATCTATTGATCCATGTTCTGATCTACAGTCAGCTGTCCCTTAAAGATGTTTCAGTCAATGACAGACCATATCTGTGAAGGTGGTCCCCGTCAGCTCTCTCACCCAGTGTGTAGGAGGCTGCCCCATCTAGATTTGTGTAATGACATTTGCTGGTTTACATCCCAGCCTGGATGGATTTGAACCCGTGCTGGTCTTTCCTCATCACTAAAATGGCATATTCATAGAACCTACTTGTGTTAGGGGGAAAGGATGTCCTGAGATAATCTCATACAGGCTTTGTGGACTCCACCCCCACTCCAGACTAAAGCCATCAGGACATTGGGAAAGACAAATCCCATCACCACCAAGGGGAGGGTGGCTGGGACCTGAGGGTGGAGTTGGGCAGCCAGGTTGGATATAAAAACCAGACACGTGGGCCTTGGGCTCTCTCTGGCTCGCTGTCGCTCGCCTCCTGGCTTCACCGGTCCTGGCTGGCGGCCAACTCTGAGAGCGCCATTTTGGGATTCCTGATCGGCGGATCGGGTAGGACTCATTTAAAACTTTGTCTCCCACTTTTCTCCCAGAGCTGTACATTTCCTCATTTCCCTTTCCCTTGTTAATAAACCTTTTATTAACCTTTCACGTGTGCCTGCAGTAGAGCATTGATAAGTCCTTTTAAGCGCGCGGGTGAGGACCCACAGTCAGGCACCCCGTTTTGTATCGGGGTTGCTCTACAACACTTGTAGCATCGTGGTTGAGATGCAAAGGGTCTGGCACATAGTAGGTGGTCAGTCAATGCTGACTGCTTTACAAAGGTCATGTCATGTGCTACATGGGGATGTTCTGCTTGCCTGGCCCCTCCAGGGCACAGATCTGCCGAGGATGGCTCCTCCAGGTCAGGTGTGTGCTTTCTATCTTGGTGAAGGTGGGGGAGGCATGCCACACCTGGCAGCTCCTGGGAGGGAGTGATCTGGAGCACACTCTCTTTTACATTATTATGGAAAATTTGGAAGTCAAGAGAGAAGTGAAAAGAGTCAAAGAGAAATCTAGAGCTCCCCATCACCCAGCTCTAGACATTAGCATTTTGCCATTCTTAGTCATGAGTCTTTCCTCCCTCCCTCTAGCTATCTCTTTTGTTGGCATGCTTATTTTGATTTGTATTTGCATGCTGTAATATTTTGATGGCAGCATCAGGGCCCTCCCATCCAAATATGTCACCAGAAAGCATTTCACTCACAGCTCTAGTTGACTACCAACCTCTCGTCTCTCTTCAGCCACAGTGAGGAGAAAACTTTTACCTTGGGGAAGAGAAATCCATGGCTTCTGGCCTTTGCCAAAAATGTTGCAGTGGCAAAGCTGTTGTGTTGGCATCTTTCACATGGACAAATGCAAAAGAACCAGGGTCTCTCTTTCTCGGTGATCCCACACATTCCTCCCAGGTTAGCACCTCCGATGGCCATGCCCAGGTTAACAGTGTCAAACTTGGTGAAGTCTGCCATCTTGCCTGTTTCCAAATCACTCTGAAGGGTGTCATTCCCCCGCAGGAGGGGTTCAGGCCAGCAGATGTGACAGACATCCCGCGTCACACAAAGCTCTTCCTCACATTGCACAGCGTGTGCTTGGCTTCCTCAAGTATGGTGTGAGCAGCCAAGCGGCCCTTGGCGTCTACATCAGATGGAAATCCTCTCCGGGCTCGTAGGTGCTGACGGCATCCACAAAATTGGCAGGACCAATTATGTCCGCTCGGGCCTTGGATATGGGTCCTGACGTGCTGCCGCACACAACTCCTGTTCTCCTCCCTGTGTCGTAGGGCATAATTCAGTCTGTTCCTTAGGAAAAGCATGAGAGGGAGACATACTTTCAGCGTGTGGGGACCCGTGGACGGAGGAACAGGAAACACCCGGGGAAGTTTATCCAGCATCAATGCTCTGCAGCTGGGACTTGCTTCAGATGCTTCACCGCATCTTAAAGCAAACCGAGCCCTCCTGTCTCACCACTGTGTGTCTCCATCCAAGGCACCTCCCCCCCCCCTTTGATTTAAATATAAACCTGTCCCCATCATTTTACTCAGTAAAATTAGCCCCGATTTGTCAACTATCACCAAATATCCAGTTCGTTTTTACCTCTCCCAGATGATTTAAAAAATGACTTTCATTCTGGGCCTCCCTGGCGGCTCAGGGGTTAAGTCTCAGCGCTATCAAGCTATCGCCAGCAACTGCAGCACTAGTTTGATCCCTAGCCAGGTTGCTGACCCACATGGCACAGCAGACCTCTCCTGTCTCCCCGCTGCTCCCCTCAGCAGTGGATTTCAGTCCATCCACCTGTTCTGCTTCCTACTCTGCCTCTGGTGAATCCTCTCACACTCCACACCCCGCCACCTCTGGCCTATATCCCACCTCTGGCCTATATCCCAGTTTTCTTTAAAAGAAAATGTCTTTCATTCCAGTTGATTACCCTAGTCGGGATGGCGCCAGCCCGATTTTTTGTTACAAAGTTTTCCACCCGTCATTTGTTCCCTATGGTTTTAATACCTGTGGGTGATTATTGCCCAAATCCACCATTTCCTTCATTCTATCATTCTTCCAGCATGTATTATTCTTACACATCTATAAGGCAGGCTTTTTCCCTCATTGACTCCATTTCCCTGAAATTACTCTGTAAAGAAATAGCAAGGTAAATGCTTGATTTGTCTCCTGATCAGAGACATCATTCTTATCATCATTTGGAATGCATTGAACTTTCTATGGAAAGTGCTTCATTCCGTCAAGGTTATTAATATTTGATACTCAAACTGCTCCATCTTTGACTAGTTGGGGACTTTTCTGGCTGTCTCCTGTCTCCTTTTGAGAGGTCTTCATTGTGCTTTAAAAATGTCCTTACTTTCTAGTATGTGATGTTCTGGGCTCATTTTGTGTATTTCCTGTCCCAGAGCAGGTCCCCTCCATTCTTCAAGCAAACCTGGGATCTCTGAATGGCCAACAGCATTTAGAGACCGTAATCTGGGTGCTGAGGTCTCTGTTGTTCTCCAGACCATTTCCTTCTCTCCTTCTTCCATCCCTCTGCCTCCCCACTAGCAAGGCAAAAGCTCTCATTCCTATTTCTTATTCTTCCTCCTGCTGTCCTAAATATTTCCTTTCTGCCTTGAGTCTGAAGTTTTGGTATGATGATAGCCAAAACGGATGGCCCGCTGGGAGTTAACTAGGAAAGAAACGGAGGCACAGGGCAGACACCAAACTGCAGAGGGTCAGACAGGCCTTTGGTAGGGAAGTTGGGATCTGAACCCCAGCCATTCTGGAACCCGGGGCAGAGGGATGATGCACACCCCAGACAGAGCACAGGGCTGCCTCAGTGGGCTGGAGGGGGAAGAGGGTGACAGTGGTGGTGGTGTAATAATCCAGTAATATCACCTCAGTCATGATAATAATCATCTAATAATGTCATCTCTTTTTGTTGATTCCACTAAATATCTCTAACAAGCAGAGCCTCGTGGTATTGACCAAACAGAGTGACGTGTGGCCACAGGGCTAGGCTTTAATATTTTGGGTCATGGGGAAGCCCAGGGACTTCAGGGGAGGGGGAAGAATGGCTGGGAGACTGATCAGCGTAGGTGAGCTTTCAATATTATAATAAGTGGTGTGGTGCCCTAGCATGCCCATTTCCTGGGAGAAAATGGAGGCTCCCACAAGCAGAGCAGTAACCTCAAGCCACGTAGCTATGATGCCCCCCCAGGTCTGCAGACTCATACTCTCCCTACTTCTCTGGCTCCACCCAGGACTCCCCGGAAAATATCACCTCCGAGTACTCCTATGATTACAACTGGACCCTAGACCCCAGCCAGCCGGTGGACGGCCCCAGGCAGCCGGTGGACGGCCCCACCTCCATGCATCCTGCCCACGTGATCGCTCTGATCATCTTCGTGGTCGTCTTCCTGGTGGGAGTACCAGGCAACGCCCTGGTGGTCTGGGTGACGGGCTCCGAGGCCAAGCGAGCCATCAACGCCATCTGGTTTCTCAACCTGGCATTGGCCGACCTCCTCTCCTGTCTGGCGCTGCCCATCTTGTTCTGGTCTCTGCTCAACAGCCAACAATGGCCCTTCGGCGAGGCCGCCTGCCGCATCCTTTCCTCCCTCATCCTGCTCAACATGTTTGCCAGCATCTTGCTCCTGGCCACCATCAGCACCGACCGCTTCCTGCTGGTGTTTAACCCCATTTGGTGCCAGAATTACCGAAGTGCCCGCTTAGCCTGGATGGCCTGTGGCCTGTCCTGGGGCTTGGCCCTGCTGCTGACCATCCCCTCCTTTGTGTTTCGGATGTTGCACAGAGACTCCTTCTCAAATAAGGTGATGTGCGCGGTCGACTATGGCGAGGACAGCAGGAATACAGAGAAGGCGGTGGCCTTCACACGGCTGGTTGTGGGCTTCCTGTGGCCACTGGTCACCCTCACGATCTGTTACACCTTCCTCCTGGTCCGGACGTGGCGCCGCAGAGCCACGCGTTCCACCAAAACCCTCAAGGTGGTGGTGGCCGTGGTGAGCAGCTTCTTTGTCCTCTGGCTGCCTTACCAGGTGGTCGGGGTAATCCTGGCCCTGTCCCACTCTTCCTCGAAACTCTTCAAAAGCTTATTAATCTTTGACCCTCTGTGTGTCTCATTTGCTTACATCAACTGCTGCATCAACCCCATCATCTATGTGGTGGCCACCCGGGGCTTCCATGCTCAATTCCTCAAGTCCCTCCCTGCCAGGTTCCGGAGCATGCTGACCGAAGAATCCCTGGGCATGGAGTCTAGGTCCCACACGATGTCCACGGTGGACACCCCATCCCAGAAGAGCCAGGTGGGATAGGGGGAGGCCGCCCAGGCCACCTTCGACCTGGTATTGTAGCATCCTTCCCGGCTACGGTCTTTCTAGTGATTTTTTTTTTCTGTAAATTTTATTAATTTGCCAACCATTTACATAACAGCTGTAGTCACTGTCCACCAAAGCTCTGGTGTCAATGTCCTACCCCTTCCCTCCCGTCTCCCCCTCTCCATCTTCCTCCCTCTTTCTCTCTGGCCCTCATATTTTTCAGCCTAAGAATTTACTTTGGCCGAGGTTTGCTAGTTTGCTCTTTTGTGGGTTTTTTTTTTTTTATATATTCTGCAAATAAGTGACAGTCGGTATCTGTCCTTGATGTTCTTCTTCACTTGGAAATACCCTAGCGTCCCCAATGCCACTGCTAGGTATTTACCCAAAGGATGTGGAAATGCTAACACAAAAAGATATATGCGCCCACTTGTTCAGAGCCAAGCCATGAAGCACCCCAAGTGCCCAGCGACAGGCAACTGGCAACGAAATCGTGGAAGAGGTATTCAACGGAATACTACTTGGATATTAAAAAAATGAAACAGCACCTTTGGGAAAGCATGCTCTGGTCTTTCTGCTGATTGTAACTCAGTCCTGGGAGAGGTGGCACAGTTTGTAAAGTCTTCTCCATTCCTTCTGTTTCCCCCAGACCCATCCTCCTTCTTACAGGCAAACTCATCTCATCCTTCCTCATTTCCAAGATTAACACCTCTCTCCAGGGACACCCGACCTTTCTCTCCATCCAAGGAACAGAAACCGTGTTCTGTATGTGGTGGGCCTTCACACAGCAATGTGTTTGCCTGTGCAGACTAGATAATGTGCAATTCATACAACACAGACCAATCAAAACCTTTGAACCTTGTTTAAAAGTAGTTAGCCCTGCCACCTCCCCACCCCTGATAACCACTGATCTTTTTACCACCTTTTCCGGGATGTCCCACAGTTGAAAACATCCAGTATATAGCCTTTTTCAAATGGGTTTTTTTCACTTAGTAATATTGCTTTTAGGATTCCTTGTGTCTTGGTCTTTTCTTTAGAGCTCTGAGAATATTTCAGTGTTTGGATGAACCACATTTTACTCATCCAGCCACTGAAGAATATCTTGTTTGTTTCCAACTTTTGACAATTGCAAATAAAGCTGCTGTAAATATCCAAAATAAAGTTCCGCATTTATTTCATGGAGTGTTGGAAAACAGCATGACTGACACTTCCAAAGTTATTCTCTTTGGGGACAAAGCAAAAATAGATGGACCTGTCTAAGCTTTTGTGAGTCAACTTAAAGGAAAACAGTAGGTTAACATGTTACTTCATTGGGTTCTTTTAAAATGTATTAAGTAAAAGGATGCTCTGTGGTTATGGTGAAAAGCAGGTGTGAGGAAGGCCTGCTGAAGGTTGAGATTGGGAAAGAGCAGTGGGAAGCCTGCAGGAAAAGGGGATGCAGGGAATGTGACTTTGTCCTTTGTAAATTGACGTTTTGTTTAAATTAAAAAAAAATAAGCTTGTAATGTTGAGATTAGTATGGAATCACAGGCCATTGTAAGCAATTATGCCAAAGGCCCCTCTGCACCCTTGACCTCTTTCACTCCTCAGGGACATCTTGCAAAAGGACATTACGATATCACCACCAGGATGTCGACACTGATACAGTTGGGGTAATGGACATTTTCATCACTACCAGAAAGTCCAGCCACGCCTATTGCCAGCCCTTCCCCAGTTGTCCCTAACTCCTGGCAACCACCGAACTGCTTTGCTCTCCATCTGTGTAACGTTCTTTCGAGAATGTTCTCAATATGTCACCTTTTTCCAATAGTCTTCTTCTTTTACTTAGTGATATTGCAGTTAAGATCCCTGCTTTGCTTTTTTTTTTTTTTTTTTTTTTTTGTGGCTTGGTCTTTTCTTTTTAGTGCTGAGTAATGTGTTTGGATGTACCACACTTTATTTACTCATCCACCCACAGAATATCTTGTTTGCTTCCAACTTTTGACAATTGCAAATAAAGCTCTGTAAATATCCCCCCAAAATAGTTCTGAATCTTGTTTAAAAAGTAGTTAACACAGGGGCCTCCCTGGTGGCACGGGGGTTAAAGACTGCACTGTCAAGCTCTCTGCAGCCACTGCATCACCAGTTGATCTCTGGCCAGGGAGCAACCCACATTGCACAGCAGACATCTCCTGCCTTGCCCACTGCTCCCCTCAGCAGTATGTTTCAGTGGATCTGCCTGTTCTGCTCCCCACTACTCTCCCTGGTGAATCCTCTCACCCCCACCGACCGCATCACGGCCCAGTACTTACATGTATAAACAAATAAATCTAAAAAATAATTCTTTTAAGAAATTCTTTAAATAAAAAATTCTTCAAAATTCTTTTAAGGGGCTTCCCTGGTAGCACAAGAGGTTAAAACTCAGCACTATGAAGCTATCCCCAGCCAGGGAGGTGACCCACGTGGCGTAGTAGAGCTCTCCTGTCTCCCCACTGCTCCCCTAAGCAGTGTATTTCGGTAGATCTGCCTATTCTGCTCCCCACTCTGTCTCTGGTGAATCCTCTCACCCCCGGATCCCTGGCCTGTGCTCTAGCTCTCATATGCGTAAATAAATCTTTTTAAAAATTAAATTCTTTTGAATTCTTTTAAATTTAAAAATAAAAAATTTTTTTTGAAGATTTATTTTTTATTTTTACAATAGCTGGGGCACAGGCCAGAGGCGCAGGAGGTGAGAGGATTCACCAGAGACAGAGTGGGGAGCAGAACAGGCCGACAGACTGAAAGCACTGATGAGGGGAGCAGTGGGCGCGACAGGAGAGGTCTGCTGTGCCATGTGGGAATCTCCCTGGCTGGCAGGGAATCGAACCCATGCTGCAGAGGCTGCGGACAGCTTCACAGCACTGTGCTCTACCTGCTGCGCCACCGGGGAGGCCCTAAAAATAAAAAATTCTTTAAAAAAAAAAAGGGGGTTATTTTGGGCCTCCCTGGTGGCGCAGCGGTTGAGCGCTGGGTTGCGAAGCTGCCCGCAGCCTCTGCAGCGCCGGTTCGATCCCCGGCTGCTCCCCGGCCACCAGAAGAGGGTCCCACATGGCGCGCAGACCCCTCCTGCCGCCCGCTGCTCCCCTCAGCAGTGTACTTCGGTCCTTCTGCCTGCTCTGCTCCCCGCTCTGGCTCTGGTGAATTCTCTCACCCTCCTGCGCTTCTGACTGTATCCAGTGCTTGTATGTATAAATAAATAAATCTTAAAAAAAAAAATGTGGCATTCTCCTGATATTTAAAAAAAAAAAAATAGGGGTTATTTTGCAACCATCCCCGGCTGGGCAGGGTCACCATTGGTTCTAACAGCTTAAAAGGGAATTTGGGAGCCCTTGGCATCATCTTCAAAGGTTTTAAAACAGTTAGCTGGGAACAAGCCAGCAGGGAGACAACAACTTGAGCCCCCTCCTCCACGGTGATTCTGCCTTTTATCCCTCCCTCCCAAGCACAGGTGTGCAAAATTTGCACATGTGCACACACCCGTGTTCCAGGCGTCCACAATCATGCACATGTGCCCCTACCCACGTGCCTTTGGTGTCAATACGGTGATAGCCACAAAGGCTGGTGGTGTAGAAAGCCTGATTAATTCATTTATCCTACAGGGGCATAATTGGCAATGTTATATTAACCATCTGAGCATTACATTAATTATACAAATACATATTATATGAATATCAGTATGTTGTATAATTATGCTATATAATTATAAACCATTAAATAATAGAGAAAATGTAGGGCTATATTATAAAATACATAAAAATGTATAACACATATCAACACTCTATGAAAGTTTGGTATCTGTGTGTTAATATATCATAGGCATATTAATGTTACTAACACGTGTATACTTCACATATAAAATAATGTCAGTAATAAAGTTTGCTTAATTCAATATAGCTAAAATATTTCAATTTAACATGTAATCAGGGAGGAAATTATTAATGAGGTCTTTTATTCTTATTTTTTTGGTAACAAGTCTTCAAAATAACACATGTCTGTTAAACTCCCAGGGGCCCCCATTTGGGTATCGCGGGTGTAGACTCCCAGCAGGCCCTCTGCATCAGCAGGCTGAGTCCAGGCAAAAGCCTTCAACATGGAGTGCTGGGCCAGGAGCCTGTCTGATTCTGTGCAGAAAACAAAGCCGAACCCTGCCGCTATTGTGCTATTGTTGCATCTGCCTTGGGTACATCTTTTATTTAAAGATACTATCCTAGCAATTAGGACGGGAGCCTAGCTGGACTTCCAGAGAGGGTGTATGTGGCTTGATAGTACATGTTGGCACCTGGTGCAGACTGCCTGTCAGAGAAGGGTTGGGGGAAGACCTGAGCACCATCTACTTTCAGATCTGGGGGATACCTGGTACCCACTCATGATCCTGGATTGTTCTGCTACCTCGACAGTCAACACCCCCTACTGTCCTCCTCCCTGCTGCTCCATCCCTGGCTGGCTTTCCCCCTATTTTCTCAGTGTGATCCTTCTTTGATGCTGTTGCCATATCTTCTTTTGGATGTTTTGAGTTCTCTCTTAAATGCAGTTCTCACTGATTTGAGTTCATCCAATATCGGCACAGTTCTCTCTTCAGGGGATGGATTCCTACTCATCTCTATATGAGTAGGCCTCCATGAGGATGGCTACTCATCTCTCCATGAGGATGGCTACTCATCTCTCCCGAACTGACCTCAACATCTTCTCCCAAACCTCTACCTTCCCTACAATCCCCATGCCAGGGTGCCTTAACACCCACTTAATCACCCAAGCCTGTGTCTGTGTCCCATGCCAAATGCCACCTACCCTCTTTTTACCCCATAGCCTGCCTGGTCTAAACCCTCCATTCTCTCCCACTCAGCATCCTTGACTCACCTCTCTGGTCTCCAGGCTGCCTGGCCTGTTTTTTAAAAACCATCGCTATCGCTAGTCTACCTTTTTTCAGGGTACAGCCTCTTCCAGGAAGTCCTCCCTGACTTTCTTCTCTATGTTCCCATACCCCCAGCTCCATCTTTATCTCTGACCATCCTCTGGTTTGGGGAATGAATTGTTAAGAAGTGAGTTATTTCCTCCACTCTGATTCTGGAAGGAGATGCTGTCCCACAAGAGTCTTCTAAAAACAGTTGGTGGTCAATGAGTGGGATCTAGGTAGTTTCTCTCAGGAAGCCTCCAAACTGGTGTTTATCATTCATGCCAAGGAAGGAAGTTCAAGGGTTGAAGGGCTAGGTGATTGCCAAATCTGGGGTCTGAGGAATCTTCTAGATCAACAAGTTCTAAAGAGGAAGTGGTGGAGAAGGGAAGTGGGTACTGATGGGTTGGACTGAGTAGCTGTGTTCCATCTGCTCCCTCAAGTCCTCTGTTACCGTTGACTCCCCAAGGAAGCTGGGGATCAGGACCTCCTCCCCTATGACTTTGCCAGGCGACATTCCCAAGCTTATACCTCTCCCTCCCATGGGTTTTACTCTAGGTGAGCGCTGTCGACTGGGAACATAATGTGAGCCCGTGAGCCCTATCAGTGAAAGATTTTCCATTTCTAGCAGACAAGCAAGAGACAAGCATTGAGTAAAATGAATTCTGGTGGTATATTTGATGGAGTCAAATATATTTTAAATCATACTTCATATATAATCAGTATAAAAAGTTTTTGCAAGATTTCACATTCATTTCAAATTTTTTTTAAAGATTTATTTATTTATGCATACAAGAACTGGGATACAGGCCAGAGGTGCAGGGGTTGAGGGAATTCACCACAGACAGAGTGGGAAACAGAACAGGCAGACTGACCTAAATACACTGCTGAGGGGAGCAGCGGGTGAGACAGGAGAGGTCTGCTGCACCATGTGGGTTGCTCCATGGCCGGCTGGGGATTGAACTCATGTTGCACTGTCTGTGGACAGCTTCATAGTGCTGTACTTAACCCCTTGTGCCACCAGGGAGGCCCTTCATATTATTTTTTTTAAAAATTCATACCAAGTCTTCAAAATCATGTGTGTGTTTCACACTCCTGCCACCTCAGATCCATCACATTTCAAAGACTCACTAGCTCATGTGGCAAGTGGGGACCCCACTGGATACAGCTCAGGGCTAGAACTCCTTGACTGATGATCAGAGCATCTATAAAATTCTAACATCTGAAGCTCTGTGCCTCTGATGCTCCCAGGTTCTGGTATGACATTCTAGAATTCTAGAATTCAAATAGCCTGTAGCTAACATCGTAGGATCCCTTTGATTAAAGAGTCTCAGATTCTGATCTTCCAGGAATCTGTCAGTCTTCAGTTCAATGACTTATATAAGGTGTCAGCAAACTCCAACCAGTTCCAGCCCACTGCTTGTTCTTGTAAATAAAGTTTTATTGGAACATAGCTGTGGCCCCTTTCATATTGTGAGGATAGAGTTGAATAATGATGATACGGACTATGAGTGACTCTTGACCAACAAAAACTAAACTATTTCCTCTCTGTTCCTTTACTGAAAAAGATTTCTAACCCTTGATCTAGACATTCCAAGATTCTCAGATGAATGGTGGTTTTATAGATGTTTGATTGTCCACTTCATAATGTATATACATCAAACATGTTTTTTTCCATGCATCAAAGTCACATAATAAATATATATTGTTCAAAAGCACTGTGTTTTCCCCATTTTCACCATTTGTTTAGTCAAACACTGAAATTGTTCAACTTCATCCAACTTTGAAATGAGGGAGTGTAATGATTTATTATATTTTTTAAATGGTGGTTAAAAAACATATAACATAAAATTCACCATTAGTGACATTTAGTACACGCACCATGTTCTACAACTGTCTCACTATAGAGTTCCAGAATATTTTCATCATGCCAAAAGGAAACTCCATAACCAGTAGATATTTCTTCCAAAAAGAAAAATACTGGATGGTCTCACTCATAGCAGGAATCTAGAAAACTTAAATAAGGGACCAGGAAAAAGAATAACTATAAGAAAGAAAATTTCAAAATCAACAAACAACTATGAACCAGAGACACTCTATGGGGGTGGGGGACGGGGAAAGGAGGGATTGGGGTCAAAATAAGGTGGTTGTAATTGTATGGGGAATATAAAAATAAAATTTAAATTAAAAAAAAAAGAAGATATTTCTTCCCACCTCACCCCCATCCTGTAGCCCATGGCAACCCCTAATCTGCTGTCTCCACTGATTTATTTATTTATTTACATATATTTTATTTTTAAAACTATTTATTTATTATTTAAATTTTGGGTTTTTAAATTTTTTTATCCACTGATTTACTGAGATTCAACCTATTTTGACTCCTCCCCCCAAAAAAGAGCAATTTCATATAGGTTCACTTAATCACCTTCCTAGGGTGTTCTTATTCTACATTTCTCTGGGCATTGAAGGGCTGTCAGCATCTCATGGGCTGGCAGTAAAAGGGATACCACCTTAGGGAGATTCCTTCCATTTTATAACTCTCCTCCCCAAGCCTTCTGAGGCCTTTTGAGGTCACGTCCTTGGCCCACAACATCCACAAGACATCCCCTGTCCCAGGGATGCCAGAAAACCTTACCCTCCCAGAATCTGCAAAACACACCCGGAGACTCTGCTGCCCAGGAGGTTACGAAGACCAAGAGAGCTGAGAAACCGGCCTCTATAAACTCTCCTGGTCAGCACGAATTGGAGGCCATAAAGCACAGCTCCCACCCTTCTCAGTCTTTTTTTTTTCTTCCCCACAGGGGTGGGCAGGATGTGGGAGACAGGAGGCCTCCCAGAATGTGGCAGGAGGGGGATGAAGGGATGTTCCTCTCTCCTGGGAGAGGACCAGGCTCAGTGAAGACAAAGTCCCCCAGTCCGGGGGCCCAGGAGAGGCCCCAGATTATCCAGTGATCTGGCCTGACTCAGAAATAACTTCCTTTAATGATTTTATTCTTTAAACAACAGAAATGTATCTCCCTTCACCTTGAAAGTGCTCAGAGGGCAGTGCAAACACCCTTACCTCCTAAGTAAGGGCCTGATTCACAAGGGCCACTTTCTTGACAAGCCTGCAGGCCGGATATAGAAATTTCAGAAATGAACGTTACATTCTTTTTGCTGGCAATTTTACCAGCATGCACAGAGCACACCCTAGTGCTGGGAACTGTTGGGTGTGTTTTAAACTCTTCACCCATGTTACTTAAATGTCCACTTTCACAGTTTAGAAAGTTGGGGTTCAGAGAGCCTGAAGCCTGGAACTGGAATATTAGTTCATTATTCTGGCTCCCAAGTTCATGTTCTCGGCCACTGTGCTATGCTGGGAGTGACCTTAAGCACCTTGATGGTCAACATCTTCCCTGTCTTACAAATGAAAAACTGGGGGGCTCGGATAGGGAATAGAATTTGTGTTTTGAGGGCTCACGCCCTGTGCTTGGCCGCTTGTACCTTCTTATGGAGGACATGACCTTGGGCTGTCTCTGAGAACCCAAAGGTTGGGAGGAATGTTTAGCTGTCCTCAAAGCTGGAGGCAGAGGGCAAAAGGGAGGGGTGAGCACACAGCTGGAGGTGGGAGGAGGTAGAGGGCGTGGGTGTTTGTGGAAGAAGACTTCACAGGACACAGAGGTGGGGGGTGGTACTGGGAGCCCAGGCCACGATCCCCAGGCCTAGAAGGTCAAACCACATGGTGGTCTGGCTTGCAGGAAATTAGTGACACTGAGGCAGGACTTGGGGACACTGTCAGCTCTCCACCCACCAGAACCCTCTCCAGCCTTGCTTGCTGCCCAGTAATTTTTGGGATATGTGAGTCACTGGAAAAATAAAAACACACCCTGGGAGCAGGAAATGGTCGCTCCTGGTTTGCTGAGGCTGGGAAGGTTTGCTGGGGCCCGTAGGTGGCAGTGCCCGCTGCCGTCCCATCAGAGCAAACAGGACATGTGTCCAGAAACGCGCTCACTGCCAGACTCACAGCAGAGACGTCAGACCTCCCAGGTCCAGGGTGTGGGCCTAGGTCCTGCTTGCAAGTGTGTAGCCCAGCTGAGGACCCTCTTGCCAGACGCGGTAAGGATGGAGGGAGGGAGGAAAAGAGGGAAGGGAAGTGAGGCAGGGGGCGATTCCACCATCTTGGCCTTTTTAGACTCGTTCTTTTCGAATTTGGGAATCAGAACTTGAATTTGAGAACTGGTGCTATGGCCATCCCACCGCAATCCACATTGGAAGGACTCAGCAGTCCAACAGAAAAGCTTTTGTCAAAGGATCCAAACACACCTCACACTCAGGTGTTTAGGAAATGGCCCTTCTCCGGCCTGCGGAAGCTCCACAGCTTCTGGGGAATTCTCAAACCTGTGATTTGTCCAGTGAATAAGCTCTTCCACTCAGCAAGTCCTCTCCACCTTTCTTGCCCCAAATTATGTTTATTGTGGTAAAGTAGGTTTACATCTTTACATCTGCTCTGGGGGATACAGGTCCATGAGCCCTCTACTTAAGAAAGGCTAACTTAATTTCCATGTGCAGCACACCCGTCAGAAGCCAGCAGCTCCAAGTATCTGCACGGGGGACACACCCAGGTCACCAGCTCTCAGGCCAAGAAATAGCACAAACTCAGTTCCCATCCCAGACACTTTCAGTGCCCATTTTTTGAACTTAATATAATGGACCCATTCAGGTCATCCTCCTGTGTGCCTCTCCCCCTCAACCTGATGTTTTTCCAGGTCCATCCACATCCTGGCATGTGCTGTGTTCATTCTCATTGTTACGACATATTCCACTGCGGGAACACAGCATTTGTCAGTTCATTTTCCTGCGGGCAACTCTGTGGACAGCTTCCTATCTCGGACAGCTGTGAACATTCTAAAACATTCCAGGCTTTGGCGAGCATACATATGCTTCTTCGGGGGGGTAACAAAGATTCTGCTTCATGGGTTCCAGAGTAGGAAGTTCCAGCAAGACTGACACGTATGCCAAGACCAAGTTCTAGGTGTCCATGGTGAAATGGAAAGAAATCGAAACGACGACTCAGCTTCTTTGTGCCTGTTTTGTTCTTGTGTTCACCAAATATCAGCTAAACACCTGTTGTGCCCCACATGCCCAGATGTCAGGGACACCGCGGAGCCCAAAGCTCTGGAAAATGGGGATAATGGTGATAAGCACCAGTTATAAGGGTTATGATGTCTGGAACATAACAGGTGTTCAATAAATATCTATTATTTGAATTGTGATAAAATAATAACATGGTAGTAATGCTTTTTTTTAATAGAGGCATGTTTTATTTATTTATTTATTTGTTTGTTTGTTTGTTTTGTTCATACATGCACTGGGTACAGTCAGAAGCGCAGGAGGGTGAGAAAATTCACCAGAGCCAGAGCAGGGAGCAGAGCAGGCAGAAGGACCGAAGTACACTGCTGAGGGGAGCAGCGGGCGGCAGGAGAGGCGGCAGGAGAGGTCTGCGCGCCATGTGGGACCCTCCTCTGGTGGCCGGGGAGCAGCCGGGGATCGAACCGGCACCGCAGAGGCCGTGGGCAGCTTTGCAACCCAGCGCTCAACCGCTGCGCCACCGGGGAGGCCCGGTAGTGATGCTTTTTTATAGGTTAAATATGAAAATGTAATTTGTGATTTATTGCAAATAATAATAATAAAATTAATTGTCTCTCACGATTACCATTCAATGTCCGTTAGTCTGAGGTGGGCTACAAAGTCCAGTCAGGGCACTGATGTTGAAGCTGCTGTGTAGAAAGGATGTGTGTGCAGACAGGGAAACAGATCCAAGGCACAGTAAGAGAAAAGTTGCTGGCACAGCAGGCTGCTGAGTGCTCTTCTTTCTGCTTAGTCTCATGAAAGGGGAGTATCAGAGACTCTTAGAGTTGCTGACAGGCACAAAATGCCCTGCATTTTAACCCACCCAGAAGAACTGGGATGGGTGGGATGTTAGGCTAGGGACAGAGGGTGCCAGGCGATAGGAGTGATAGCAGCTGGTGGACCTGGCCCTCTGCTCAGCTCTTCACCCCTCTTCACTCAAACTTGTTGAGTTCTCCCAATGCCCTCCAGGGTAGGTGTATTATTATTCTCATTTTACAGTCTAGTCATCAGAGGCACAGAGAGGTTAAGTGAATTGCCCAAGACTACAGAGCTGGTGAGGGTCTGAATCTTTAAAGTCTGCTCGTGTGCACACACATGCATACACATGCAGCGGCTTGGGAGGGTGGCAGTTATTTGGCAGGATGGAAGGGAAGGCCCCAACTTCCCCTCTGCCTTTCCTGTTATGTCAACCGCAAGCCCTGAGCAGTGCTGGGCAGCCCACAGGATTCGCCAGAGATATACAGGGTGGGGTCACTCTGCTATCACACAGGCTGATATACTGACTACGTGGGTCCTCACCCCTGTGCAACATACTTTGCACATTTAACTCCTCAAGGCCTCCCCAAACTGGTGACTCATCACCTCGATGACTCCCAGACAGACAGAGAGAGTACTTCCCAATCGAAACCGCTTACTGGAGTCACAGTGCCTGGCAGCACCACCCTCCTCCGCTTCCCTGGAATCTTAAAGTGTTTTGGATCATGATATTCTGGGGCCAGGAGTTCCGGTGTGAGACTAACACAGTCTGAAACTCGGCTCTGTTCCTTGTTTAGCTGAATGATCTTTGGTAAGTGACTTGACTTCTCTGTGCCTCAGTTTCCTCTTTGGCAGAAAGGCTAGACCAATAGAATTAAAATCAAAGGGTTGGGCCTCCCTGGTAGCGCAGCGGTTGAGTGCTGGGTTGCGAAGCTGCCCGCAGCCTCTGCGGCGCTGGTTCTATCCCCGGCTGCTCCCCAGCCACCAGAGGAGGGTCCCGCATGGTGCGCAGACCTCTCCTGCCGCCCGCTGCTCCCCTCAGCAGTGTACTTCAGTCCCTCTGCCTGCTCTGCTCCCTGCTCTGGCTCTGGTGAATCCTCTCACCCTCCCGCGCTTCTGACTGTACCCAGTGCTTGTATAAATAAATAAATAAATAAATCTTAAAAAAAAAGAAAAGAAAAGAAATTAAAAAAAATAATAATAAAATAAAATCAGAGGGTTGTCCTAAGGATGAAATGACAAAACATTTAAAGGTGCTTGGGGCAATGCATGGCACATAACGCAAAGTGCTCAACAGATGGTGGCTTATACTTAGTAATAATACATAATTACAATAATAATATAAGAAACAGTAACAATAATACTACTTGTGTCCCTCAAGACAGGGAGAGATTTGTTGTTGTTGTACAGATATCATGAAGTGTGTTTACACACAAGGAGTGGGGTATAGCCTCCACACACTCAGGCTGGATGTAGGGACCTCCGTCCCATACCCACAGTCTGGTGTTGACCAAAATGTCATTATGATTGGAATGACAACAGTGGTCATTTCTGTAACAGGTGATGTCACCTCTCTGTTTACACCTTCCCATGGTTCCCATCTCATGTAGAATAAAAGATAAAGCCCTTAAAATGCCTCATATGTCCCTTGATAAGTCTCTGTTCTTACCTCCCATCCTGAACCCTCCCATCTACTCTGCTCCAGCCACCTGAACGTCCTGGTTGTTCTTTTTTCTTCTTCTTTCTGCCCCCCACCCTCATTTTAAAAGGACAGGTTTATTAGGAAAAGGAGAAAGAAAAAGAGAAGCACCTACAGAGTCATGGGTGGGCAGAAGAGCTGACATCCTCGCTGTTCTTCTAATATGATGTTATGTTCCTACATCAGGGCCTTTGCACTGGCTGTTCCCTCTGCCTGGATTGTTCTTCCCCACAAGGCCCCCTCCCTCCCATCCTTTACGACTTTGCTCAAAAAATCTGAGACCCTCATTTAAAGGGTCATACCCTCTCTGACCCCTCATTTAAAACTCCAACACAGGAAAATTTCAATGCCTACACAGAACATTTTATATTTTACAGAATATTTTACATATATGTGTATGTATAAAGTATATTATTATATGTAATTATATATTGCACACACACACACACACACACACAGAGGTCATAGCATTTAGTAGCTTCTAAAATACAAAGTATTCTGCGTACGTATTCCTTTGCTATCTGACTCCTCCCACTATGGTGTCCGCTCCCAGGAAAGGAGGTTTTGTCTGCTGGGCATCCAGGCTTGGAACAGAGAAGGTATTCAGGAACTCTGTTGAATGAATGAAAGAATTCTAGAGAAGTCAACATTGTAGCATTTCTATCACTGTCATAACTTTAAGAAATCGCTTTGTCCCTTAAGAGATTTTCTGTCCCTTATCCTGGGGACGGTTATAAGGATGTGTTCTGGTTGTAAGCCCCAGGGAGCTGTCCTTGAATGATATTCCTGCTTTGCTTCTGTTTTCTGGTTTACATTTTAAAAAGGCAACAAACTTACTTGGAGGTACATTTTCATCTCACCAAGATTTGAAAGCACTGATGAAGAAGAACCAAGACAAATAACTTTTGCTGTGAAAACATATTACCTACTCCCCCTCTTGGTGCATAGTCAGATTCCAGTCAGAGTCCAGATTTTAAATTCTAGAATTCTGAGTGGTTCAGGGGCTCGTGTTCTTATACTTCAATGCCCTCTAACTTCACTGTCCAATAAGGTAGTCATGAACCATTTATAGCAATTTGTAGCAATTTATATTAATTAAATGAAGTGAAACTGAAAATTGAGCTTCTCAGTTGATTCCAGTCCAGTGTGGCCAGCTGCACAGATAAAGCCCATTTTCACCAGAATTCAAAGTTCCATTAGACAAAGCTGCTCTAGAATTTCAAATTTCAGGTGGCCACCATTGTCATAGTTTCATAGTTTAGGATGTCAAGATTTGAAAAGTCATGGACTGTTTGGATACTATACTATTTTAGAATCCCAGGATGCCCCTGAGCTCCTGTGCTAAAATGTTAGCAGGTGAGAACTGCAGTGTTAAAAGGCACTGGGCTCCTGGAGCTCTGCTGGTGGACTGGGGTTCCCACACCCTAAGATCCTGAGAACCCGGGAATCCCTATCACTGAGGTTTCTCTCTGGTCCAGGTATCTCGGCCCGGGATGGAGAACACGTCTCTCAGCCATGAATATGAACATTACGATGATGTGAGTCCAGACCAGCCCGTGGACTGCCCTGATGGCGAGTGTGCATCCATCGACCTGCTGCGCACCATCCCGCTCCTGCTCTACGTGGTGGTCTTCCTGGTGGGTGTGCCAGGCAACATGATGGTGGCCTGGGTGAGCAGGAAAGAGGCCCGCAAGAGAGTCAGTGCCACCTGGTTTCTCCACCTGGCCGTGGCAGACCTGCTCTGCTGTTTGTCTCTCCCCATCCTGGCGGTGCCTATTGTCCATGGGGGCAACTGGCCATATGGGGCTGTGGGCTGTCGGGCCCTGCCTTCCATTATTCTGCTGTCCATGTACACCAGTGTACTGCTCCTGGCTGCTCTCAGCACTGACCTGTGCCTGCTGGCCCTCAGTCCCACCTGGTGGGCGGCAGCGGGGCGTCCATGCAGGGTACAGGCAGCCTGTGGGGCAGCCTGGACGCTGGCCTTGCTGCTCACTGTGCCCTCAGTCATCTACCGCCGGCTGCACCAGGAATACTTCCCACACAGGCTGGAGTGTGTAGTGGACTATGGCGGCTCTGTCGTGGCTGAGTACACAGTGACTATCACCAGGTTTATTTTCGGATTCCTGGGGCCGCTGGTGGTTGTGACTGTCTGTCAAGGTGCCCTCCTGTGCCGTGCAACCCAACGCCGCTGGCCACTGGGCACAGCCGTCATGGTATTTTTTTTTGTCTGCTGGGCCCCCTACCACCTGCTGAGGCTGGTGCTCACTGTGGCTGCACCCAACTCTGCTCTCCTGGCTCAGGCCCTGCGGGCTGAACCCCTGGTTGCAGGCATTGCCCTGGCTCATAGCTGCCTAAATCCTGGACTCTTCCTGTATTTTGGGCGGGCTCAACTACAACAGTCACTGCCAGCTGCATGTCATTGGGCCCTGAAGGAATCACAGAGTATGAATGAAGGCATGAGCAGCAAGAAATCCACCAGCTACGAGGAGGTGGAGGTGTAGGCTAGAGGGAAACCAGTTTGTGTCTTTCAATCACATTTCAAAAAGTAGCTTCAGGTATAGCTGGATCCAGGAGCTCCATAATATCATCTATTCCATAATTCCTTCAACTATCATTCATTATTCACATACTATGGGCAAGGCCCTATTATAAGCACTAGGGCTGCAGCAGTGACCAAAGCAGACACAAATACCTGCCCTCAGGGAGCTGGCATTCTAGTGGGGCAAGGCAGAAAATAAGCAAAGAAATAAAGGATTCTGTTAAGTAGTGAGAAACTTAAGGGGATAAAGAGGGCTAATTGGAGCAGGGATATAGGTCTTCCAGGGAAGGTTCCTTGATGATATTTGAGCCAAAACTTGAAGAAGGGAGAGAGGAGTTATACTTAAACATGGGGATGGGGGAGAAGCATTCCAAGTGGCAGGAATAGCAAATGCAAAGGCCCTGAAGCAGAATTAGTTTGGTGCTTTCCAGAAACAGTGGATAGGACAGTGTGGATGGAATAGAATGAGCAAGAGGAAGTGTGTTGTGAAATGAAGGGAGAGAAGTAATGGGGCTCCCCACTTTAAAAGCCTTTTAGGTTACAGCAAGTATTGGGGGGTCTCTGGAAGGGTTCTGAACTACTACACCCAGATAAACTACAAGACACCCATTTTTTTTAAGAGGCATGTATTTTATTCATTTATTTTATTTATTTATTTGTTTGTTTTGTTTGTTTGATTATACAAGCACTGGGTACAGTCAGAAGTGCGGGAGGGTGAGAGAATTCACCAGAGCCAAAGCGGGGAGCAGAACAGGCAGAAGGACCGAAGTACACTGCTGAGGGGAGCAGCGGGCGGCAGGAGAGGTCTGCGCGCCATGCGGGACCCTCCTCTGGTGGCCGGGGAGCAGCCGGGGATCGAACCAGTGCCGCAGAGGCTGCGGGCAGCTTCGCAACCCAGCACTCAACCGCTGCGCCACTGGGGAGGCCCAAGACACCCATTTACATTTGAGTTTCAGATAAAGAACAAAATAATTTTTTAAATATTTCTCATGCAATATTTAAGACACACCAAGAATTGTTTGCTGTTTATCTGAAATTCAAATTTAATTGAACATTTCCTAAGTCAGGCAACCCTTTTGTGAACAGAGGAGTGTCTTGATTTGACTTAGATTTTAATAGAATCCCTCTGCCTGCTGGTGGAGACTGTACTATAGGATGAGGAGCTGCTGCAGCATATGCAAGAGGTGATGGTGACTCAGATCAGGGTGAGAGGGTTACACAGTCTCTGGGCCTATTTTGAAAGAAAGGCCAAGTCCAAGCCCCTAGGCATTTGAGAATTCTCCCTACCACTGGACACACATATTCTAGCTACTCAGACCCAGCAGCAGACAGAATAATGGCTTCTAGTGAGACTGGCATCAAAATCCTCTGTACCTGTGAATATGTGGACTTACCTGGCAAAAGAACCTTTGCAAATGTGATTAAGGATGTTAAGATGGGAGGATGATCCCGGGTTATAGAGTGGACCTAATTTCCTCATGGGGTTTATAAAAGGGAGACAGGAGGGGCAGAGTCAGTTGCAGGAGATGTGACAACAGAAGCAGATGTCAAGACCTCCCTGGTGGCACAAGGGGTTAAGACACAACCTATGAAGCAATCCACAGCCACTGCAGCACGAGTTTGATCCCCGGCCAGGGAGCAACCCACATGGTGCAGTAGACCTCTTCTGACTCGCCCGCTGCTCCCCTCAGCAGTGTATTTCAGTAGATCTGCCTGTTCTGCTCCCCACTCCTCCTCTGGTGAATCCTCTCACCCCCCACACCTCTGGCCTGTACCCCAGTTCTTGTATGCATAAATAAATAAATCTTAAAAAAAAAAGCAGATGTCAGAGTGACATTAGGAAGGTGCCACCCACCAATGAATGCAGGCAGCCTCCAGAAGCTGAAAAAGATGAGGAAGTGGATTCTCTCTGAAGCCCCTACTGCGAGCACAGCCCTGATGACATGGTGCTTGTAGACTTCTGACTGCCAAAACCTTAAAAGAATAAATGTGTATTGTTTTAAGTCACTAGCTTTGAGGTGACTTAAAGGAAATGAATAAAGACCCTGTTATAGTCATGGTTCTGGGTCTTTCGTCAAGCTGGTGCCATGCCTGGAATGTCTATAGGGAATCAGAATCATAAACCTATATAAACTGAAGCCTGAATTCTGGAAAGGTGGAGCAGTTTATCAGAATTTTCTGCCCCAGGAGAACTCTGAAATAAAAAACTGTTACTAACCTTCTCAGTTGTGCTTATACGGTTGTGATGATTGCAGTGTAGCTCATGCTACTTAAAATAGCATCGCTCCTCCTAAAGCTTTGGTTTTCTCCTTAGACATCGCACTTCTACTTGACATTCTATTTCTTTTTATTTATATGTGTCTCTGTTATAGGACAGCCCCGATATTGAACGGGTTCCTGGCTGTGGGTCCTCACCCATGCTCTTAAAAGGGACTTATTAATACTCCACTACAGATACACACAAAAGGTTAATAAAAGGTTTATTTACAAGGGAAAAGGAAATAAGGAAAATGTACAACTCAGGGAGAAAATAAGGAAATAAAGTCTTTAATGCGTCCTACCCGATCCGCCGACCTGGAAACCCAAAGTCACTCTCAGAGCTGGCCTGACGCTGTGAGCTGGTGGAGAGCCAAAATGGGGGACCCCCCCAAAGCCCACGTGTCTGCCTTTATACCAACTTGGCTGCCTAACCCCACCCTCAGGTCCCAGCCACCTTCCCTTTGGTGGTGATGGGATTTGGAATTCCCAGTGTCTTTGGCTTTGGCCTGGGGTCGGGGTGGAGTCCACAAAGCCTGTATGGAATTAGCTTTAGGACATCCTTTTCCCCCTAACATCTCCCCCACCAAAACGTGAGCTCCATGGGAGAAGAGATTTGATCTGCTTTGTCTACGAATGCATCCTAAGTGACCAGAACTGTAAAAAAAAGGATGATCATTACAATAAAAATAAAAGATCTAACACTTGCTATTGAGCTGAAAAGTCCAGTTTGTGTACCTTAAGTTTGCTTTGTCGGAAAGTTTTGCCAACAATCTTGGCGAGTAGGTATTACCTTCCTGTTATAAATAGGGGAAAAGGCTCAGTCCGCAATGACTGGGGCTTTTAGGTTTCCCTTTTCTCATTCAGTCATCCATTCAACAAACATTTTCTTGCAGGCGGACGTTGGAGAACGCAGGCCCTCCAAGACAGAAATAAATAGCCCCATGCCTTCAGGAAGCTGGGGCTGAACCGGACTATCTATTGGCGAGCTGACATGATGAATTGTACATGAACAACACTATACATAATTACAACTCATAATGAATAATTCAGTCAGCTCCCTCGTTGAGCTAAAACCCGGGGCTCCGCCGGTCCAGGGTGCAGCCAGCAGAGGTTAGGGTAGAGGGGGGCCGGGGAGACATTTTCAAGTCTCCACAGCAGCCCTCCCGGGACCCCTAAACGGTGCAGCGACACCCGAGGCTTCTCCCGCTGCTAGGCGGGGGCCTGACCGTGCCGAGCGCAGGCGCAGAGTGGATCTTAGGAGCCCGCAGCTGCCCATTGGCTCCTAGGTCTTAAGTGGGGCGGGGCCAGGCCGCGAGGATGGCGTGCGCAGGCGCAGAAATGGCTTCGTGTGCGTAAGGGGCGCTGCGGCCCGGAAGTTGAGGCGTTCGCGGTGGATAGTGAGGTGAGGGGGGGCGGGGCGGCGGTGCCGGCGGCTGGAGTCGAGCCGGGTCGGGGGTACTTGGGGGCGATCGGAGGGCTGGAGGGAAATCCCGGGGCCCCGAGAAACGATTGGAGATGGAGTCTGAGCATGCCTGTGAGAATTTGGGGTCAGAGAGACCCGAGACTGAAAGCACTGGAAACACGAGAAGAAGCTTCGAGAAACGGAGGGCTTGAGAGACGGGGAAGGCTGGAGGGAAGTTGAGAGAGGAAGAAAGCAGAAAATTAGAAAGCCCGAGGGCGAAAAGTGAGGGTCCCTTCGCGGGAGGCTCATGGAGATTCCCGGGGTCCCCACGTGAACTTGGGAGATGGCGGGAAACATAGATCAGAGTCAGACGAGGGGTCAGAAATGGACCCAAGAGCACAGGGAGGTGGAGGAACGGACACTGAATCGTGGGGCGAGACCGACAGATGTGGGAAGAGGGAGAAACTGACCAAATCTGGCCCGAGAGTTGTTGGCAGAAGGGAAGAGCCAGCCTAGGGGAAGAGGCTGGGGAGAGAGCAAGAGAAGGAGATCCCATGCTGGGAATGGGGCGGGAAAGCCAGGTAAATGAAGAGAGTAACCCCGAGGATGAAGAACGGAGAGAGGTGGAGAGAGCAAATAGAACGGAGAGGAGAGTGAAATCATGCAGGGTTTGTTTCTCTACATCTAACCTATTTCACTGAGCATAATTCCCTCTAGGACCATCCATGTTGCAAATGGCAGGATTTCAGCTTTTTTTCTTTTTTCTCCCTAAATAGCTGAGGTCTTATTCCATTGTGTATGTAGGCCACATCTGAGAACGGCCTTGAGAAACTTGGGGGTGCCCTCAGTTGTGCCCACATGCACCAGAGGCAGTTTGCAGCCAGAGGGGAATGATCTCTTCACTTTATCGTTCCTGTTTTTACTAAGAATCCTGGCTACCGTTCAAGAACACCTTTTCCTCTTAATTGCCTCCTTGAACAGGAACCCCTCTGAAGCTGCTCTGGCATCACCAAGAAGTAATGAGCACTCCCCACAGGCTGCTGCTTTCATGGGAAACAGCTCTGCTAGTTCACAAGTTCTGGTCAGTTGAAACCCATAGCTGGCCCTAGTTACTCCCAGGGATGGCCTGAATCCCCCTGAGACTTAAGAGATCAGCTCTCTGAACTCTTCCACGATGCCCTTGGAGACTAAAGGCAGAGTAGGTGCAGGCATCACCGATATCATTATGCAGGCCAGTCGTGACCTTTATTTTTTTTTTTAATGATCATTTTCATTTCTCTTTTTCTTGAAATAATATACATCACTGTATGTTTTAGGTGTACAGATCACACCTCTTCAAATGTTTGTTGCACCACAACCACAGTCAAAATGCAAATAACCCTCTACCCAATTTGTGGCCATTTGAGTTTTTCTAGGTTATACATTCTGATTTTTTCCCCTGTGTTGGAAAAAACTGGACAAAGCACTGACCTTGAATACTAATTCCTTTTTAGCTTCTCTGTGCCAGCCTCGGTGATAAACTGCAATGCTTTGAGATGTGAGATGGGATTGCCGTCATTTTACAGATGGAAAAAACATCCTCGAAGCTGGTCACACATCTAGTAAACAATGAAATAGATTTAAACCCAGAGTTGCCTGCCTAGGGTTTACCAAGGAAGTCTCTGGACCCTTCTTATAAGGCCATAAACTTAGAATATGAAGGATGGCCTTCCCTCCAGGAAAATTACACCTAGGACATGCTCTTTCATAAGACTTCCTCAGCTGAGAATCAGAAACCCACCTTTAAGTAGTGGCCGGAAAGTGGAGGGCTGGAGGGAACAAAGCCTCAGGCACTAAGTGATTGCCAACCTTCCCCTGCCTCCCTCCACCTCTTGCAGTTTGCTCAGTCATCATCCTTGTGTGTGCCTCATTGTCCCCATTTGAAGGCTTTTCTCTAGGATAGATTTCTAGAAAAGACTATCTTGTTAAAGAGCTCCAGGTTTATAGCATCCTTGTCCAACCACAATAGATAGTGGGAGCTTGTCTAGTAACTCAATTCCAGAGAAAGGCCGTGATAGGGCCTCTTCAGATCGTGTGTCCACTCCTCAGATCAATCAC